GCGGGGAGGGCGGGTGAGGGCCATGGGAGCGGCGGCAGGCGAGCACGCCCCGGTGGCAGCACTGCCTGCCCCCACCACAAACACACACACAGCCCCGTGTGCATCTGCCCCAGGGGTTCCTCCCATCCCGGCCTAGACACAACCATGCACACTCACACCCTCTCCACCCAAGGCTACCCACCACCACCACCACCACCCACCCTTGGGAATCATGGGCTTGATGTAGCGGCCTCGGTCGTCGGAAAAGATCATGGTCTTGGCGCGCCCGGTGCGCCCCTGTGCCCGCTGCTGCTGCTGCGCAAACATGAGGATGGATGGATCCAGGATCACGCCCTCGCTCTCAAACATAAACTGCTCCGGGATCTGGTCGTTCTGCTGCTCCTGCTCCTCGTCCTGCGGGCAGGGCGGGGCGGGGCGGGGCCGCGGGAGGGTGGAGGAAGAGCGGGCGGGAGGGGCAGGGCGGGGCAGGGCAGCGTGTGGGGCCCGCGAGCAGGGCGGCGCCTCCCCGGATTTGTTTGCATCTCCCCGGCAGCCCCCGCCCCCACCTGCTCCTCGCTCTCGTCCTGCTCCTGCTCATCCTCGTCCTGCTGCTGCTCGTCCTGGGGCGGCGGCGGCGGCGGCGGCGGCGGCTGCTCCTGCAGCAGGCGGCGGGCGAGGAGGCCGGCGCTCAGCGCGCAGCGCCCCGCGGCCCGGCCTCCCACCCTCTACATCGGGCCCATGCTGGCAGCAGCAGGGCGCAGTACGGGGCCCTGCCGCTGCCGCCGCAGGAGGTGCAGCACGCATCCCCGCCATCACGACCACCCCACCCCACCCGCACGCACGGGCCTCGCCGCCGCCACCGGCACCTTCCCCAGCCAGCCTCCCCCCACGCCGCCCCCCCACTCACATCCTCTGGCGGCGGCATGTCCATGATGGTGGACCGCGGCAGGATGACCAGCTGCACCGCCTTCTGCAGGTCCTCGGGCTCCACCTTGTCCCGCCCCTCCAGCGCCGCGCTGGCCTTGGCCACCCGCACCCCAAACAGCTCCGCGCGGTGGCCCTGCACGCCGCCGCGCCGCGCCTCCTCAACCAGGTACCGCACCTGGCGCTCGCCGATGGACACCTCCTCCAGATACTCCCGCGCAAACACAATCTGGGGAG